CCCTTTAGTTCTGCTTTTTTTCTAGCATTTGGCTCAGAGATACTGTTACTGGGAGGGTCTGAAGAGCCTGGGGGAAATCGGGGACTGAAGCCCCTTCTGTAACCTCCCCCATCGCCCCTCTCGCCCCGACAGGCTGAGGAATCACGTCCATGTTCTGCTCCAATCTTCCAGGACACAGGGAAGGAAAATGTCTGTGATGGAGCCAGCTCAGGTAGGGGATTTTCAGGGAGCTCCTGGGCAGGGGCAGGGAGGAGACAGGGTGTGATAAACCTGCTGATTTTCTGAGTGGGCCCATTGGTGATGGGGGAGGGGAGACGGGACATTCTTCCATTTCTCAAACAGGATACAACCCCCTTGCACAGGGCTGGGAGTGAGACCCCTCTAGCCTGAGGCTGCTGTGAATTATGAAGGGAAGCTTTTGGGATTCCTGTCCCTGTCCCTGGCTCAGAGCTCTGCTTCCTGTATCAGCATGTGCCTGGCAGGTGTGTGGGAAATGAGAAGACCCTGCCCTGCTCCGTGTGCTGTGGGGGGACAAGGAGCTCTCACCTTCTCCCCACCCCCTGAAGCCTCCTGGCTGCTCTGAGCAGGGTGGGGGTGGGATTCTGCTACTCTGGCGCTCCCAGAGCTTCCATTTCTTTATCCTTCTGTGTTGCAACTGATAGCTGACTGTTACACATCCTGCTTTTCAGCTGCTGGCATTTTAGGTCGGTTAGAGTTCAACATGGAGGAGCTTTGGTTCACTTTGGCCTAGAGCAGGAGGGCTTCATTGACACTCGTGGTCTTCCACCCCCCGAGTTACCTAGGGTGATGCCTAGTGACACCAACATCTGCCTCCTTTGAGAACACTCAAAAGGCACCAGCTTGAGTTTTCTCATAGTCTTTGGAGAGAAATGTGTTCAGTTCCAGAGGAAGGGCTGCCCCAGCAATTACATGGCTAGGGACTCTGGGGGGAGGCGAGGCACAAAACCTGTTAGTGCTGGCTTTACAGCAAACAAAAAGTAAGAAAATGAAAAAACATAATATTGCCCCTGTGAGTAGGAGGCGCACAACTTGGCCGCCGAGTCCTTCGATATTAGGCAACCAGCTAAAAAGGGAATCAAAAATGGTGGGGGCCTGTTCTTGGGCCTTCCATTGGTTGAAGGCCTGCTCCGCAGATAAAATATGCTTATTAATGTCCTCCGCAATTTCTGGGACATATGTACAGCATTCATTTCCAATAAGGGCACACACCTCGCCCTGTGAAGCCAGAACATAATCCAGGGCCTGGCGGTTTTTCAGGCAGTCGGAGCTGATAAAGCTCAGAGCTTATGCTTTTTTCTAGGGCCAGGGTGTCCTTGGCAAACTGGGTGAGGAATACAGAGAGCCTCCGGTAGAGTTGGGCCAGTCGTCCCACCCCATAGGATGGGAGGAGGATCATACCAAGTCTGTCTCCCTCGCCAATGGGCTCTGGGGTGGCGTACAGAGACCGGCGCTGTCTGGGGCAGCCATACGGGGCTTGGGCCAGGACCCGCAAGAGAGGGGCGAGGAATCTCTTGTAACAGCTTCCGAACCACCCATGAGGGAGCCACTTATAGGCGTTTCGGCCACATATGTAATAGAGCAGGCCATTGCCCAATAAGCCATTATACCCCCGACCCATTTGTGCAGCCTTTGCGGGGGTCCAATATGCAAGCCCTTCCCCGGAGTCCTGTCCGGAGCTATCATAAACCGGAATGGACACGTTAGCGGTCAGGGTCAAATAATATTGACAGGTGCTGTTACCAGCGAACCATGTGTGGTTGGCCGTCCTACATTGTGCATGACAGAGGAGGCCAGGGGGAACATCACGAAGCCTGATGGGCTGAGGGATAATGGCTTGATTCCAGAGGGGTTTCCAAGGATAATTGGTGAGGCTAAACTGGGCTTCCTTGGAACAGTTTGCAGCTAGAGTAGGCCATCCAGGGGCAATTCTTGGGATGGGTGGGGAGTACTGGAAGCCATTTGTGGCTTGCCATAGCTGGCAAATATCAGACCAATTTTGGGGAACCGCTCTCCATGGCAACCCTGCCGAATGGTGAGCGATCTGAGAACATATCCAACAGTTGGAGAGATTAAACTCACGGGCAAAGGCAACTTTCAGGGCCTCAAATGTGTTTGTTTCCAAGTTGTTAGGGATTCCTCTCCATCCCACATGTGCTTGGGGGGAAACGGGAGTTAACGAGAGGAATGCTCCCATGGCAAAAAGTAACACGGTGGCAGACCCTGGATCTGAGCCCATGCTGTAATTACAATTCCCCAAACGCCCACAAAACAATAATCACCAACAGCAGACAGATTAGAAACAAAAGGGACCAGGCCAATAGGTTAGGCTGGCCACCTGAAAACAAACACAACCAATGCTCGGAGTTCTCGCGGAGAGTGCGCTGCGGCTGTCCAAAGGGAACACACGGCATTCCCAGCAAACCTTATTGTCGCTTAAATAACAGTTTAAGTCCCAGATCGTCGCTGGAAGTCTTTTCAGCAGGCTGGATGGTCCACTGTTCAGGAGCGGGCACTGCTTTTAGGCGAGAGTGATGAATCCAGTTTTTGTGCCCTTCAACCTTAGCCGCCATGTGGGAAACAAGCAGGACGGTGTGGGGTCCCTTCCACTTCTCTTGGAGCGGTTCGTCCTTCCAAGTCCGAACGAGTACGGAATCGCCTGGCTGCAAGGAGTGGATTGGGGCATCCAGCGGAAGAGGCTGTGAATCTTTGGTGTACCTGTGGAGAGAAGAAAGAACAGCAGACAGAGAGCACATGTACTGAGATAAGAAACCGTACCCCATCTCCCACTCCCCTGCCAGAACCGGTGTACCGTTCAGAGGCCATGCCCTTCCAAACATAATCTCGAAGGGACTGAGCCCTAATCTGCCCTTAGGGAGAGCGCGGACACGGAGCAAAACGAGGGGCAAAGCATCAGGCCATCGAAGATACGCCTCCTGGCAGACCTTTGAGAGGTGTCGCTTAAGAGTCTGATTTGTACGCTCCACTACCCCACTGGCCTGCGGTCACCATGGCGTGTGGAGCTTCCAGGGGATCTGTAGGGCATCTGCTATATGCTGAACGACTTTTGACTTGAAGTGCATTCCATTGTCGGATTCCATCCACTGGGGAATTCCCAAGCGGGGAATGATCTCCTTGACAAATTTGAGGGCCACCGTTTTGGCAGTGTTGTTACGGCATGGGAAGGCTTCGGGCCATCCGCTGAATCGATCCACCAAGACGAGGAGGTATCTGAACCCTTGGGTCCGGGGAAACTCAGTAAAATCTATCTGCCAAACCAATCCTGGGCCTGGGGTAGGTTCCAGAGTGGCTGGTGGCACTGACACTCCCGGTCGAGGGTTGTTCTTTTGGCAGATCAGACATTCAGCCTGTACCTGGGATGGTAGGAGTCTAAGTCGAGAGGTTAGAAAATATTTACTCATAAGCTGGGTAAGATCCTCCCTGCCAGGATGGGTGGTTTGATGTAGTCTCTGCAACACCGGCCGGATCAGGCCCTTCGGTAGGAGGATCTTCCCTTCCATGGAGTGGAGCCATCCCTCCTTTTCCTGGAGACCGAGCTTGTCAGCCAGTTTCCTCTCTTCGCAAGAGTACTGAGAAGTCGCGAGCTCCCCCACTGATGGGATAAGGGCATGCATATGGGCATCTTCAGTTTTCGGTGGCTTTAGGGTGGCGGCGTGCTTGGCTTCCCTGTTCGCTCGGGCGTTGCCCCTGGCCACGTCCTGATCTTCCCTTTGATGAGCTCTACAGTGCACCACCGCCACCACCGAGGGGAGTTGTACCGCTTCTGGGAGCCGGAGAATTTGAGGCCCATGCTTGACCGCCTTGGGCTATTAGCATTCCCCTTTGCTTCCACAGGCCAGCGTGAGCATGCAACACCCCAAAAGCATATTTTGAGTCAGTAAAAATATTGACCCGTTTTTCTTTTGCCAGCTCGAGCGCACGGGTCAGGGCCACTATTTCAGCAAGCTGGGCAGATGTCCCGGCAGGCAAACCCTCGGCTTCCACGGTATCGTGGAGGGTCACGACAGCATAACCCGCCCTCCTTTGCCCGTCTATAACCGAACTACTGCCGTCGGTATACCACTCATAATCTGCATTCGGGAGCGGTTGATCTTTTAAGTCCGGGCGGCTGGAGTAGTGGGCATCTATGATATCCAAACAGTCGTGTTCCTGCTCCTCTGTCTCCGGCAACAGGGTGGCTGGGTTAAGGGAGGGGCAGGTCTGCAGGGTAACCTCGGGGTTCTCTAAAAGTTTAGCCTGATACTGAGCTACCCAAGCCTGGGTGAGCCAGAGACCACCCTTAGTATCCAGCAGGGCTTGAACCATATGGGGAGTATACACTTGCACAATTCCCCCCAGTGTCAGTTTTTCAGCTTCCCCAAGTACTAGGGCAGTTGCTGCGACCGCCCGTAAACATGCTGGCCACCCCTGGGCAACTCGATCCAGTTGTTTGGAAAAGTAGGCCATGGGACGTTTCCAGGTGCCCAGTAATTGAGTAAGCACTCCCAGGGCCACCCCTTTTCGTTCATGTACATACAGTTGGAACGGCTTGGAGAGGTCCGGCAGACACAGGGCTGGGGCTTCCATTAGTTTCCTTTTTAAAACTTTAAATGCCTTGTCGGCTTCTGAGGACCAGTGAAAGGGGTCGTGATCCGCTCCCTTAACGCATTCATACAAGGGTTTAGCCCACAGTCTGAACTCTGGGATCCATATTCTGCAGAAGCCCGCCATACCCAGAAACGCCCTGAGCCGTTTACGATTGCTTGGGATAGGAACTTGGCAGATAGCTTCCTTCCTTTCGTTTGAAAGCTGACGCTCCCCTGCCTTATGTGAAACCCTAAGTATTGTACTTCTGGGAGGGCAATTTGAGCCTTACTCCATGCTACTCGATATCCTCAGACTCCAACAAAGTTCAGGAGGCTCACGGTGGCTCTAAGGCAAGGGGTTAGACCCACAGCGGCAATTAACAAGTCATCTACATATTGCAGGAGGAGGACCTTGTCCTCATTGTCCCACTCCTCCAAATCTCTGGCCAGGGCCTGGCCAAAAAGGGTGGGGGAATTTTTAAATCCCTGGGCCAACACTGTCCAGCAAAGCTGCTTTTTAACCCTCCTTTCTCCTCCCACTCGAAGGAGAAAATCTCCTGAGATTGGGTGTCGACCGGAATCGTGAAGAAAGCGTCTTTTAAATCTAGGACCGAAAAATGGGTATACTGCCACCCTATAGAGGCCAGCAAGGTATATGGGTTTGGGACAAGGGGATGAAGAGTCTTAACCCATTCATTGACTGCACCAAAGGTCCTGTACCAGCCGATATGTGCCATTGGGCTTTCGTACAGGCAAGATGGGAGTGTTCCAAGCTGACTGGCATTCTCGAAGTACACCGTACTTTAGGAACCGGTCTATAGTCTCTTGCAGTCCCTCTCTGGCTTCCCTTTTGATCGGATACTGCCGGATTCGCACCGGGCCTTTTCCTGGCAAGAGCTGAACATTAACGGGGGTTTGACGGGCTGCCTTTCCTGGGACCCCGGACGCCCATACCAGAGGATATACCTGGTCCTCCCACTGGCTCCACTCTGGGGCTTGCATGGCTGAGGGTTGCAAGGGTCATTATCCAGGCATTCTCGGGGGGTAAGGTGAGGGTTACTTCATCTTGGGTGAAATGCAGGGTGGCGCCTAAGCAACAAAGCAGGTCCCGTCCCAGTAGAGGCGTTGGACAGTCGGGGAGATAGACCAGCTTGTGAGATAGAGTTCTGTTTCCCAAAGTGCATTCCGCTGGGGCATACACTGGGCACTTGGTTCCTTTCCCTGTGGCACCCACCACTGTGAGGGACTCTGCCACAGGCAGCTGAAGGGGTTGGTTTACGGCGGTTCGTGCCTCCAGAGTCTACTAGAAAGTCTATTTCCAAATTTCCCACCCGCATTTTTACTTGGGGTTCCGGGGGCAGGATGGTCCGTCTCCCCTGACACCCCTATTCGTGATCCTCCGCCGCCATCGTAGGGGCGCTTTCCCTTTCGGGGCATTCATTTTTCCAGTGTCCCTCCTGCCGGCATATAGCACAATGAATGCGACCCAGACGCCTTTCCTGCAGGCCAGGGTGCCCGCATCCACGGCCCCTAACTCCCCGGCCCCTTTCACCTTCCCGTGGCCTTTCCTTAGTGCCGGCCTGTACTGCCGCTACCATCATTTTAACTTGCCGCTTTTCCTTTCCTCCCTCTCTAAGGGTATAAGCCCTATTTGCGGTTTCCAAAATCTGTGCCATGGACATGCCCATTAAATCCTCCTTTTTCTGTAGTTTCCTTTTAATAACAGGGGCCGCACGGCTGGTAAAAATACCCTTGATAATTGCCTCAGTTGTCTGATCATCGGGGTTTGCGTTAGTATTTTGCCGGATAGCATCCCGAATACGCTGCAGAAAAGCAACTGGACTTTCCTTTGGCTCCTGTATTAGCTCATACGGCTTGGCCCAATTGTTGTGCCGGACAGCCGAATGGCGGAGACCGTGTAAAAGCAGCTCCTTGTAGGAGGTGAGACGGGTTTGGCCCAGAGGGTCATTGGGGTTCCACCTGGGATTTGCTAAGGGCACCATGTCTGCGGGCTCAGGGACGTTGCCTGGATCCCTTTCATGTCTCCGCTGTGCCTCCTCCCTGACTTTGGACATAACCTGATTCCGCTCCACCTCAGACAACAGGGTCCTCATGAGAATATTACAGTCGTCCCAATCAGGCTTGTGGCTGGCCAGACACCCTTCAAAAACTGAGATAAACTTGCTCAGGTTCGTGGAGAATTCCCCTGCCTGTGCCTTAAAGGCTGCTAGGTCCACTGGATTAAAGGGCACATGCGTATAAACCTGCATGGTAGTAGCCTGATTCCTATCCGAGCCATGTCTGGACACCATGGTCTCGGTGATCAACGGATAGAATCCCACCGAGGGGGCAATCTCTGGAACCCAAGGCACCTTCTCTTTATATGGTGGGGGTGTTCTAGCCACAGGGGACACCGGATCTGCCATTACAATCGTGGGGGGGTTCTGGGGACTAACAGTAGCTACTACCGAACCTGTCGGAGTCAAATTACACTTTTGCAAAATATCTGTTCTATTTCGTAAAGCTATAAACAATTGCGCAAACAGATGTTCGTTCCATTTACCCGTTCGCTGACAAAACAGGAGTAATTGAAGGATCGTGTTATAATTAAGTGATCCTTCAGGTGGCCACCTTTCCTGGTCCTCTAGCTGATATTGACGCCAGTCTACTGTACAGAACCTTTTTAATTTACTTTTAGTCATCGGATCTGATCCAAACACTTTCCAGTTCACCAGAATGCATTCTAAGGGCGTACACCGTGCCCTGCCTGTTGTACTCTGTCCCTGCCCCATACTCTAGGGAGACACTGGGCGTCCCCAGGTCTTAACAGGCAAAGTCCAGGCCACTGGACTGGTTCCTACCTTATCCAAGGGACCGGTTCCGCACCGTCGCCCGCAACCGCTTCTCCACTATCCGAGCGCGTTGCACTGTTGTGCCCCCCCCGGGGTCGATCAAACCGCGTCTCCGCCAAGGCCCCCGATGAAGTCACCGGTGCGCGCTGGGCGTCAGTCGTCGCCGCAACCCGTCTGCCGCTGGGAGGGATCCGGGCAAGGCTAAATTTCAGCCTCGAGCCCACGCAGGGACGCCAAGAACTGTTGCCAGCACAGAGGGCCCAAGGGGGGCAACAGCAGGGTTCGTTGCCCAGTGTGCTTCGCGCCAATGAACCCACCAGGGTGGAGAAGCAGAAAAAGCTTATTCAAGATCTCTGAAAAGGCACTAGGAGACCAGCATGTCTCAAATCAAGCAGTTTTTCCCTTTTATACCCAAGTTGTTTACTTCAGCTTAGCTTCCCCCTTCCTCCCCCCACCCCTTCTTTACCCTGTAGCAGTTAAATTAAGCAATGTTGACTGCTGTAATTGTAGCTTGTTAGTAATTTTCCCTTCTGCAAGTTATCTTGTCCTTCAGCTGGACGCATGTAGGCCCCCTTATCTCTACCGCTTTAGACAGGTTTGAGCTGTGTTGCAACTGATAGCTGACTGTTACACATCCTGCTTTTCAGCTGCTGGCATTTTAGGTCGGTTAGAGTTCAACATGGAGGAGCTTTGGTTCACTTTGGCCTAGAGCAGGAGGGCTTCATCGACACTCGTGGTCTTCCACCCCCTGAGTTACCTAGGGTGATGCCTAGTGACACCAACACTTCCTCCCTTGTGACTAGTGGGATTGTGGCTGGAGCAGCAGGTAATGAGTGGGGGCTTTTGGTGTTCCAGATGCCGGTGACCTTCGAGGAGGTGGCTGTGTATTTCACCCAGGGGCAGGGGGCTCTCCTGGACCCCGTTCAGAGAGCCCTCTACAGGGATGTCATGCACGAGAACTACGAGACAGTGACATCGCTGGGTAAGGGATTCCTGTCCCCTCGGTTATTCGAAGTCGTGGGGTCTGCGTGTCTGAATCTCGTCAGGTTCTTCCCCGATCAGTTAGATCAGAGGGGAATGGGTTCCATAATGCACAGCTGCCGTGTGAGAGAGACTTGCATCTCCATGCCCTCTCCAGTGGGACATGGGTGTCAAAACCTAATGGACAAGCTAAACCATCTCCACCCCTCCAGCTTTCAAAGGGGCATAAATCCAGCATTGTCCTGTCTGTGTCGTTTCGTGGCTGCACACACAATCCCTGTTCACCTTCCTCCTTGGGAATAGCTCCAGCTATGGGGAGGGCTCTGGGCTCTGCAGGTTTAGAAAGAGGCAGGGGTTTAAGTGCAGAGCTGTGTGTGAGTCAGCAAGGCCCCCAGAGCACACAGATCCTGGGAACGCCTAGTGAGGGTGTAGTAATCATTCAACTCACCTCCCCAGACAACTTCCTCTGTGCGAGCGGGCTCGGTGACCATTTTCCCGTCCTCTTGGATTCCACGTTCCTGCAGCAGAGCGCAGGGACAGGTTCCATTCACGGAATGTCCTTTCTGACAAACACTCCACCAATGCTCCACGCACCCTGATCTGGTCTGATTTCACCCTCTGCACAGGATTCCCCCTTCCCAAACCTGAGCTGATTGCCCGGCTGGAACGAGGGGAAGAGCCGTGGGTGTCCGATCTCCAGGCCTGCAAGGAAAGAAGGCTTCCGAGATGCACCCGTACAGGTGAGGACTGACACAGAAACATCTAGGGAATGAAAGAAAAAGCTGAGAATCCCAAAATATGGTGTGAGTAAGCACCCTCAGTTCTTCCTCATCTCAGCCAGGACAGGGCTTCAGTCATCAGATATAGCTCACGCCATTCCACCCAGCCTCTTCTCTGCAGGAGTTTGCTTTGCAGCTTTCCTTCCCTGTGAGTGTTTGGGTGAGATGTGGAGGCGGAGCCAAATTGCTCAGTCTTTGTGTTGGGTTTTCCCTTTGTGCTATTCCTCTTTCTCCCCAACACAATGACTCCTGTCCGGATTGTGTCTCTCCCAGCAGGTGCTGAGCGAGGGAGTGAGAATGAGGCGGGGAATCATCATGAGGAAGTTCCCGGGGAAGTGGAACCGCAGGGGACCTTTGTGGGAAGAGCTGAAGGGAATTTTTCCCAGTGCTTGGAGCAGGCAGAAGCCTGGGGACATTGGCACAGGTCAGAGAGGCTTCTGGGAAACCAACCAGGGAAGAAAGTGGATGAATCTATTAACGGTGGGGGAAGAGAGGAGGATCCCAGAGCGCAGCAGACAAATCCCAAGCAAGAGACTCCCTGGCACTGCCTGCAGTGTGGGAAACGATTCACTGTGAGATCACAGCTTGTGACAGATCAGACAAACCATACTGAAGAGAAACCCCTTCAATGCTTGGACCATGGGGAAAGCTTCAATAAGCGCACAGATCTTAATAACCATGGGAGATGCCTCACTGGAGAGAAACCCACTCAGCCCCTCGAGTGCGGGAAATGTTTGATTTCGAAGACACAAATAATTAGACATCAGTTAAGCCACACAGGGGAGAGACCCCACAAGTGCTTGGACTGTAGGAAAAGTTTCATAAGAAGGTCACACCTAC